CTTCTTTAAATATACATTGCATAGAACCTAATATTCATTCTTCTGATGAAATACAAAATCTACAATTCAATTAAACTTTATTTCTACATTTTGCAAACTGCTATATTGATTCTTTGTGGCGATAGTGGCAGAATCCTTTCTACATTGGGATGTATTTGGTGGTATTTTTTTTGTCATGGTTCGATTCTACAAACCAATCGTAACATCGAAAAAAAAGCAGAGGATTTAATTCTAATTGGCTTATGGCTAATTTCTTCACCTTGGGATAATATTTATCCTGCGGATAAACTCCTAAAACATTAAAATGATTGGTTAGCTAGGGATTTATCCGAAACTGAAGAAACTGGCCATTAGGGTTATTCTACAATGGGACGTTGTCGGTAGACATTTGTCGTAAGTCATTTCTATATACCAATCAAAATGATTTTTCCACTTTTTTCGTTGCTATGGTTGGCTTGTAGAAGCGACTTTCGACAAACGTCTGCCGACAACGTCCCATTATAAAATAACCTTAATAACTATAAAACTCCCCACAGCATTAGGTGCATGTCAATTATTCAATTTGTGCCGACTTTTATTGACACGAAGTCTCGCTATTCACTGGCTCCAACGGAGTATTTGGGAAACAACCAATGATATCGCTTGCATTGACATAAGTCTACACAAGTGAGTAATCGGAAACTACAGACTGTTGTGTCTCGATTAAGGCTCGTGCACAGTTGATACTTTCTCCGGAGCACAAAAGACGCTATAAAGAACAGACCTAAAGCTGTGAAAGCTTCCTACAGAGATGAGTAGGGAGATTGCCAATGAGCCTGTTTTTGGTGATGGCAATTTTTCTTTGGTTTCAGCGCGCCACCTTAGCGAAGGGCCCTCGAAGCAGTTCCACGTTTTTGATTGGTCGTGTATATATAGTAATACTACGCGTGATAATCTGGAGCTGTCTTTTGGCGCGTCGACGCGCCACCTGAACGAGACTCTCGAACTAGTTCCACGTTTTTGATTGGTCCAATGAATTCGTGTGTTCCTCGAGATCTACGATTTTAAACCGGGTGAACACTCAAATAGGGAGACTTGTATCCACCTTTTTTTTTTACAGGATATTACATAAACCGTAGTAATAAGGTAGTCAATACCCTTAATATCCATATGAAGCTCTGGAAATAATAGAGTAAGCAAATAAAACTTAAAAAAAACTCTCGAACGTGGGTAACTACAGAAGTATAAGTTTGCTAAACAATATACCACAATGACTCGATAGCACACGTGCTTGGTGCTGAATTAACGTCCGAGAGTCTCGAGTTCGAAACTCACGTCTCAACCCTTTTATTTTTTTTCTTAATAAT